TTCTTGGGCAGTGGTCAATGGCCTGGCTATCTGGTCAGAACATGGAAGGAAAAAGACTGGGAGACTGGGATAAAGAGGTCTGGGGTAGAGGCTCATGGGTGAACTTATATGGGAGTGGGCACAAACTGTGAAGAGGTTTGTGTCACAGGTAATGTCCTCCAAAAGGCATCTACCATGAGAGAGGGACTGAGCAATCAAGTAGACAAAATGACTTGGCCAGTTGACATGAATCAGATTGCCATTGGCCATATCAGAATTAGCATGGTGAGTACATAAACAGAGTGGCCATGGCTGCAGAGACAGAGGTATCCAACCAGGGGACAGCAAAGGAGTTGGATGATGTGAGGCTATGGCATGAATACCACACCATTCAGAAGCAAGCCTGATAAAATGCAGAAATAACCATTGGGTCAATTATGCTGCCTGTAGTAGAAAATCTGGAAGACATTTTCATGGCCACCACAGGCTTCTGTTTGCATTGCACGGCTTTTTGTCTCCACCTTCTTAAACCACAGACGCAGCTTCTGTGCTCTGAAATCTACCACCACATTTGCACTGCGAGTGTACTTCCCTTAGGCTGCTCTTGGCCAGTGACTGAGTGTGGCAGGGATACTAAGCAGGCCATAGCTGCAAGATGCTGGCCTCCTCTGAAGGACGACTTTGGCTCAAGGACTCCTACAGGACTGGCTGAAACATGCTTAGAACTGCACTGCGGTCTAAGAAGTAACTTTCTTACTCCCCCCTTTCCTCTTTTCCTCCCTTCCCTTTCTTTCTTTCTCCTCTCCTTTTCAAGGGGCGGACCCGCATCATAATCCACCAGCACCTTCTCCATTTTCCCTTACTGACATTTCCTCTAACTGCTCTTGCACATCTAATCCCATCTTGGCACCTGCTTCTTGGAGGACCCAGACTAACACAGATGGCTGGTATATGTGCTGGTGGGCATCTAAGGCAGAATGGCAACTATGTCAATCTTGCATGCTAAGGGTAGTCACCTGGGAGTGACTGACACGAGAGTGCTGAGTTGAGAAAGATTCTAGAGCTGTGTATGGTTCATTGAAATAAATGGACTATGGACTATTGGCATGGTACACCATGAGGGTTAAGGGAGGGAAGTCTTGATCTTTCATTAGTCACTACTGCTGAATTGGGATATTCCCCAAATCTCCATTGAGAAGCGTCATGGTCACAGAGCCATAGTATGTAAAACTTTTGTTAATGATGAATGATATTTTTGACAGTGAATGATTAATGATACTTAATGATTTTTTTTTTTTTTGAGTTGGAGTCTCACTCCATCACCCAGGCTGGAAAGCAGTGTCACACTCATAGCCACTCCAGCGCCAACTTGCTGGGCTCCGGTAAGACTTCCATCTCATCCTTCCAAGTAACTGGAACTACAGGCGTGTGCTAACACTCCCGGTTAATTTTTAATTTATTAAAGAGATGAGGTCTTGCTAAATTGCCCGGGCTGGTCTTGAACCCGCAGGCTCAGGCAATCCACTTGCCTTGGCCCCCCAAAGTGCTGGGATAACAGGTTAAGCCACCGAGCCCGGCCAATACTTAATGATTAATAATGATTATTATAAAAATAATGATCATATACTATTGCAATAGTATTAATATATGATTCTATAATATATGATTAATGATAATGCTTAAGGATGATTGGCACTTTTAAAATAGTAGTATATCACTGAGATCTTAAAGTGATACTAAATGTAAGATAATATGTGGCTTAATTATACAACATAAGCAATAATATTTTCACACTGAAACATGGTGAGTCACATGGAATATAGAATAAAATATTGAAAGCATAAGGATTTGTTAGTGGTTTCCACTTCTGACTTGGGGTGACTGTGCTCTGATGAGTGGATATGGTTGTTCCTGTTTCTTTGGCAGGCCTGCATGATGAAGCCCATTATAACATGATGCCATTCATGAATAGCACTCATTTCCCTTTAACTGATTTTATACTTGCCAAGTGACATTCTGAAGCTAATCAGGTTTTAGAAGTCGATTTTCCTACTGAAAAGAGAATGTGTTGTCCAGTTGATATAGGTATTTTAGTCTATCATTTGATTCTCTTTCTTTGAAAAGTAATTTATAAATTATAATTCATGCTTATCATATAAAGAATAAAAGCCTTCAAAGTTAACTTCTTAGGCACAGTTTCTTTCCAGTCCTACGCCCTTGAAGTAACACTATTTTTTTTGTTGTAAATTAATTGATTTCTTTATTGGATATCTGATGCTCAAGATGTTTTCTTTATGGCCTTATATAAAAGAAATCTCTTGTGGTTTGCTCACAACGAATGAAACTGAGTTTCTAGATACACAAAACTGAGGGCCAATCCTTTCATTCAGAGTTTTTATCTTCCCGTGTCAGTCTTTTGTTAAGCCTCTTATGACTGTAAACCTGCTTTGCAAAAAGTGTAAGCTTTACCTAACAATCATAGAACATAAGAGCCCAATTTGGAAGAATATGTGTAGTGCTGAGCTTGCTGCATTTTGCGATTTATTTGGTACTAAAACTACTACCAGTCACTTATTTTTGCGTGGAATTATATTACTTTTTTGGGTATCGTCTATGAGTCTTTTCACTCTCCCACACCCCACCAAGGTTACAGTATAGGGTAAGAACTTTAGACCTAGTGCAAATCAGTATACATCCACTTGAACATTTTTTTTAAAAAAGAATGCATGAAGACAAATATGAAAGGATGTAGATTGCAGATTGACTTTTTATTATTATTAGTCATTTTCAAATTCAAAGTACTTCCTGAAGAGAAAAATTACTTTCCTAAGATGAGTAAGGTTAGACCTTTAGTGTACATGGAATTTACTTAAAAAGATTTTCCTCAGTGGAGAACATCTGGATATTTTATTGAAAATGTTTTCTTACAAAGATTTAGGGAAGACAATTGTGCATAAAATCTCAAGGGAAATTATTATTTTAGGAACAGAAAAGACAACTTACCAAAATAATGCTGATAAAACTATAAAAAACATAAAATTGTGCAATTAAAAAAAAACTTAAATCATAGTTTCACTTAGAGAGAAACTACATTATATTCCTAAATGAACAGACTTACAAAGTATACTTATTTTGGTTAAGGCTGATGAATGTAAAAAAAAATTCAATACTACCAGAAAAAGCTGATAACATTTTTTGAGAATAATTTTTTAGGTGGCACAAACATTATGGTGAAAATTAATGCAGAAATCTGGTTGACTATGGGGGTAAAAGTAGAGTTTTTCATGTAGATTAAATATATTTTTCTTTCAAAAGCAATTTATTTATTCTCTCACCCTTTCTCTTTTTTTTTTTTTTTTTGCTGTTTGTCTGAAAATCTTTTTTAAAAAATCTTTATTTTAAAGATGTGGAGTACAATTCAGGATTAGGTATACAGATGGTCACTGTACAGGTAAAGTTTGGACCTCTCTTTTTTTAGAATTTATTTTCATCCTTTATTAAAATTAATTTTTCTTTCTATTAACAGGGAAATAAAGATTCTCTAAAACATTCCTAGACCTACCTACTTTATTTCTCTTTTTCATTAAAGAAAACATGGAATTATTTTGTGACACATTTATTATTCACCAGTTCTCATAAAATGGAATGCTCTTAAGGTAGTTACAAAAACATACTGTTAAAATATCTCTGGGGAGAGGCGTGATTTAGTAAAAAATATTGCATTTGTTCAAGACGATCATAGAAGGAAGCCTAGGATTCACAGTGGCTCTAGTCTCTAGACTTTCCTTTCTGATGTTAGACGTTAGGCAAGATAGCTATTTGAGACAAAAATTAATGTGCCTGAAACTCTTTATATAATAAAGAATCATAGTAGTATAGGAATGTCACTTTAGTCATAAGACCCACTAAGTTAGATTGATTGATTTGATCATCTTCTATTTAAGGTCAATGATTGTTGCTCGAGGAGTTTTAATACATTTGTTTCGATTTTTTCTTTTCTTTTTAAAATTTCATGTTACCCATGGGTTAGGCAAAATACCAAGGTCGGAATGCAAATTTACACACTGCCTTCAGATTGAATTTATCTCTGGCTTGGGAGAAACATCCCTCTGTCCTCATGAAAATATTAGCAGCCTCACTTGCCCTACTGCTGTGATCTTTAGCATAGATGCTGAAACTAAAAGTTCCGTAAAGACATTGCTACATGTTTATCTATTAGGCCATTCTGGCATATGATGTCAGTTTGTCCTGGAAAATTTCAATTTGATTTTTTTTTTTTGTCTTTATGCTCATACATGAGGAGTAGAACTTTTATTTTAAATATCAGCATATAGCCAGGCTCGGTGGCTCAGCCTGTAATCCCGAGCCTTTGGGAGGCTGAGGTGAGTGGATTGCCTGAGCCCGCAGGTTCGAGACCTACCTGGGCAGCGAGACCTCATCTCTACAATAAATCAAAAAATCAGTCTGGCGTGGTAGCACATGCCTGTAATTCCGGCTGCTTGGAAGGTTGAGGCGGAAGGATTGCCGAAGCCCAGCAGGTCGAGGCTGCAGTGGCCGGGAGCGGCCACAGCACTCCAGTCTGGGTGACAGAGTGAGACTCCAACTCAAAAAAAAAAAAAAATAAGTAAATAAAAATAAAAATAAATAAATAAATATCAGCAGATAAGAATGGCCTTTTGAATTTCATTTGAGTTGCAATAAAGGTTTTGAAGGCATACTTGCTTTCATACAAATGTTATCTCCTGGCTCAACCAGGTGATAAAACTTTATTAATAAAGCATTAAAATAGACTAGGCCACTCTACACATTTTTGGTCTTCTCAACTATCTTATTGCCAGGTCTGATAGGTCTGGTTTCTAGATCCTACCTGTACATAGTTTTGGAAACTAGGCTAACTGCATTTAAATTCCTAAAGACAGCAAAAATTTTAGGGCACAAATAATGAAATTAACACAAGTTCAATTTTTGGGGCCCAGTAGAGCTGAGATGCTTTCTGTAAAATAATTAAGAATTCAAACTAATCACACATATAAACAAGTTTATTAGATTGTCAGTGATACTTTGAGACAAATTCAAGTTATTTTATTTTACTTCATATAAACAGAGGAAGGGAGGAAAGTTTTAAACCTCAAGCTTTGTTCAGCATGTGTGCAGTTAGCATCCACAAAAGCACCATTGGGTATGGGAAAATTAGCACCACAGAATTTTAGGACCTAACTGTTAACATGCATCACTGAAAAACTTGGAACATAAAAACTGAAGTAGTACGTGGTATGGTCTATTATAAACAATACAAGGCAATTTATGATTTGTTTTCATACAGTACAATACAATCACAGTTAAATGAGAACCCTTTAAGTACAATACAGGACAAAAACCACCTTGTACCCTGTTAACACTAAAGCAGTTACAGATTTAAAAAAATGTTTCTTGTAAGAGGCAGTGGGTTGAAGTTATCCTTCCCTCCTCAATTTTTAAATTCAGAGTTATATAGTTACATGATCTCTTAAGAAAGTATTTTCAAATCTATACGTCTGTCTACCTCAATGCTGACAAATGGTGGTTTGAAAACGAAAAGGCTTGATTAATTAAAAAAACAAAAAACAGAAACCTGATAGAGTCGAGAAGTACTCCAATGTGGTGGAAGGTATTCCACACAGGAACAGTTTGAAAATGATGCCAATGGTGTTGATACTTGTCTTCCCTTCCGTGGAGGAATGTCAAGTACAGAAGCCTTGCATTCATGATGAAGTTCAGTTCATTTCTTTCACCAAATGCCTTTATTCTGAGATGTAACATAAGAGATTTATTCCTTATTCCTCAACTGTTTTTGTAGTATCATAGGGTTGTTCCTTATGCTTGATTTGACAACAGTGAAAAGGGTTGATATTCTCTCTGGATTTAGGATAATTTGTGAGCTAAAGAAAAAATATTAATTTAAATTTAGCAAATATGAACTTTTAAAGGGAGTTCCACTATTTTTACAGTACAAACCCATAATTAATATCATTGAAAACCTTTCTGTTAGAAAGCATGTAACAAACCCACAATTTTTAGTTCTGTCTAGGCCAATTTTGGCATATTTGAAGCTACTGTATAAGAAATGTGCAATAAGAATAGATACAGGTATATTCAGATCTCAATGCATTGATGCCAAGGAAAATATAATTTTACTCACCAAGAGAAGAATATACCTTGAAGCATCTATGCAGACACATGAATCAATCATGTGTCTGCCCAACTTCTAATTCTGGAATAGTGATAACAGGGTCATTTAGGAAAAAGTACTTCATTACAGTACGGCAGCAATTTTATGTTGTATATATTTAACAGCGAAACATTTTGAAAATAGAATCAGTACTATATGGTAAGTTTACAATTCACCATTCTATACTTGTAATACATGCATTTATTTGTTTTCCAAGTTTTAAAAAATCCCACTAGGACCAACATCTTTCAGAACAACAGTCTAACATTAAACAAAACTTTCTAAGGAAAATATTTAGCATCACAGAGAGTTGAGAAACGTCTGTTACTCAGCATCACAAAATACTCAGTAGGTCTACATTTAAGATTGTTCATGCCATGACATTAACACACCTTTGGGTTAATATATCTTATTTTAAAAGGAAAACAAAGAAACAAACCAAACGATTGACGAGGAATTTATCTTTAATCGCTCCTTGATAAGGAGAGAACTCTGATAACTGGACTCCTTTCTATACCATTTAACGATGATATTCTCTATGAAATTGCATTTACATTTAGTAAAACATTTAAAACTAGAGATAGAAAAATGGCAACCACAGAGAAAGACTTAAAGATAAGTAAACTTATAAAAATGGTTTTTTAAAAAGTGTACTGCCCTCAAGCAAAAAAAGAAAGCAAAATTTGTTCACTTTGAATTATTCTTCTGTTAAAAAAAATTAATGGGTAAAAGCCTATCCTTATTAATGTCAGAAAGATGTTGTTAGGGTTTAACTTGAGAGGGTTGAACTTTTGAAAAAAATTATCCTATTCTGTTTTCTGCTGAACTAAATTCACTGTATAAATCAACTAACTAATTTTCTGAAGAGGAAACAGCTATACACAGCAGCACATCCATGATGATTTAAATTTGACAGTTCACCAGGCATGGCTGACTTGAGCAAAAAAGAAACAAACTGATTTAAAAAAAACTCAACTAAAATAAAATTTAGTTATAATACATTGGCTTACTAATTTTGATTAGTCATATTTGATCAACATTTCAAAACAAGATAGTACCAGTTAAAAATAAGATTTTAAAAAATCCAAAAATTGTTCAGTGAAAAAGTCTTCAAATTTTGCATTGTTTAACTTCAAATGATTGTAGACTTAGACTAACAGTTTTCTCATTATGACATATACTTTTGCTACTCTTGATTTTTATTTTTGTATTGTTCACTGGTTATATTATGTAACATAATTTTCTGTTAAGTTAAAATAGTTTGAATTATTACATTACAGTATAAGAGGTTTTAGAAAAACATATAACTAGGATAAATGTATAAAAGGATAAAGAATAGTTTTTAGACAAATTTTATACAGACAAATAGCTAGTTCAAGGTAATAAAGTGCCTTCTTTTCTAGGTAATTTATCATTAAATATTTTAAGGCTTTTTAAGAAACTCAACATTATCATAAGTTTGATAGTATATGGAGTTATTAATTAGCATTTTTTGTAGTTTTTATTTCATTTAATCCACATGGTAAATTTTAATAATTAGCCGCTTAAAATTATAAATTTGAATCAATTCTGAATTCACTTCATAGGGAAGGGGAAAGATGCATAATTTCTAAATGCTGAGATTTCTAAGTAAGACTCATGTTGCTTGTGAACACTATAGTTTATGTCATAATATACAGTAGCCAATGCCCCTCAGAAAATTCAACAGAATATTTAATCCCATGGCAAACAGGGCTATCATTTCATTATTTCACTCATATATTCTGTTGCTTTACATTTAAAATGATTGTGCATTTAAATGAAAAAGGCCAGAGAAAGCCTAAGGTAAAATTTTCAGACACAGGCACAATGAATATATTTTATTGCAAAAGTTTATGCATAATTTGTATTGATGCTAACATCTAATGTTAAGCATTTATATTCATGTTCATTTTGCTTCTACTACCATGGTTGTATGACAGTAAAATTCTGGTAACCTAATAGAAGTGTGTGTGTGTGTGTGTGTGTGTGTGTGTGTGTGTGTGTGTGTGTATCATAGCCATAATGATATAGAGTCCTATTTCTTCCAAGTCTTGTCATTTCTCTTTGGGAGATATGGGTATGCTTTAAGCATAGCTATGTACTTGGCTGTCTTGGCAGCTCCAAATTTTAGATAAATTTTTATTATATGAACATCAGCTACTCAACTGTTTATTACCAATGAAAACTAATTATCATGTTTGAATATTCTTTTTCAGAAATTTAATTGTTTTTATCAGAAAGTTACTAAAATCAAGTATAAGATTAAATCGTCAAGATACCTAAAATATTTTTCTGATTACCACTGGATTAATCTAAAATGTTTCTTAAATGAAATATTTTGAGGTTAGGATGGTAAAGGAAAGCTAAAACTCATTGCAAGTAATGGTTTAAGCTAAATATTCCATATAATTAGGAAAACAGTAGGAAAAAAGTGCTAGTCTTAAAAATGTGTTTGGTTTTGACTCTAAAGCCTAGTAAGAATAATTCCTGGGAATTAGAAATAAATTAAAATAGCATAAATCTTTATAATTGCACATTCTTTTACCAAAGTGCCACAAGTTACCAAATATTTTTATAAAATGCACGTGATGCTACTTTTCAAAATCTAAGTACATATACAGTTTTACCTTTTTCATACTAGTATAGTACAGTTTCACAAACAGCACAAATATAAACAGGAAGATGAATTATACTTTCTAAAAACAGTATAGCCTTTAAAATAAATGCTAAGAGCCTTTGTCATTATGAGGATTCAAATCCAGTACTATGTAGTAAATGCATTCTCCTAAAGCCAGAAAATACCATTCAGAGTTTGTTTAGGCAAATTTTAGTAATACTCTGCCATGCAATGCACAGAAGTCATTTTTAAAAAAGCATATTGGTTTAGTTATCCTCTTTTTATCTATTTGACTATGTTATACTTACTGTCTTCAATCACTGAACTGGCAATATATGTAATAACCAAGTTTTGAAAACAATATTAAACACTGAGTTTTCTAGTCTTAACTACTCATTCCCTTGAAGTATAGCAAAAATGTTTGATGCATGGGTTATTAATTTTCATGCTTCTACTTCTTTAAATAGAAACACTAAATGGAAATGTACAGAGATAACATTATAAGAACAAAGAACATTAGAGACAAATCATCAGTATATGGAACAAATAAAATAATATGCAATGGTATGAATGTTTCCATATTATTACACTTCAATTAAAAATGAGTACTTCTCTTATACATGAAATAATTATACTAATGTATAATGTATAATAAGTGGCATACACATAAGAGTAAATTTTGAATATTTTTGTTGTTTTGTTTGTGATGAAATTAAAATAGAAGAGTTGTCTCATAAACTAAAATAAAAAAATTTCATAAGAAAAAGAGAATGTAAAATTATGATTCTTCATGATAGGTCATCTGGGTTCTGCTATGCCACAGACTAAACATTGAGGTGTAGTATCCTAACTAATCAGGGTAAAAAAACACAGAGGTAAGACTATACTTTTAATTGGGCGCTGGGGCTCATGCCTGTAATTCCAGCACTTTGGGAGGCAGAGGTGAGAGGACTGCATGATTCCAGGGGTAGGAGACCAACTTGGCAATATCTCATCTCCACAATAAACCAAAAAAAAAAAAAAAATAGCCAGGCGTGGTGGCACATGCCTGTGGTTCCAGCTACTTGGAAGGCTGAGGCGGAAGGATGACCCGAACCCAGCAGGTTGAGGCTGTGGTGGCTGTGAGCATGCCACTGCACTTTAGCCTGGGTGACAAAGTGAGATTCCAACTCAAAAAACAAACAAAACAACAAACAAACAAAACCAGAGGTACTAATGTTATAATTAGAATTAGTTCATGCCGCAGAACATAAAATGACTATAAAAAATAACCCCTTCCTTTTCCTACAGTTTGAGAATCTCAATCTTAGTTATAAAAACCACTACAGAAAATCATCTGAAAGAAATGCCCAATGCGATACATTCTTCATCTTTTGAAGATGTAGAATTAGATACAAACTGGTATCCTCATGTTCTGAAATAATTAACACGCTTTTAAAACACAAGTAAAATCAGAAAGGATCAAGTATAATCATTCACTGATAATAACTTCTCCAAACCTAACACGCTAGCAGGTTAACCACAATAAGATGACTAGATATTCATCTTATTTAATTTAATGAAACTACTCATGGTTTCTTGGTATACAAACACAATCCCATGTTAGTGAATAATCGTCTTAGATAATTTCAGCATTGGAAATTCACTAGAGAAATACTTCCAATCAACACCGAAATACAGAAGATTCTTAAGAGAAGCTGCAGATGTGTAGAAGCTCTACACTATATGTGCTATTCCAACTATTTTTAGTGCATGTAATACCCCAAATAATATAAAATTCCACAGTCTCTGGTTAACATGCACAGATATTTTCCTGACTTTGTAAAAGCTAGGCCGTTGTATTTACCTAAAATAGCTTTTCCCTGGTAGCAGTCTTCTAGTGTTGACATAAATACTGAACATACCTGTGAGAACTGTTTCTACCCTATAATTTAATCCTGTTTTCTATTATTCAGCTCTTATGTAGCACTTCTCATTTCAAAAATGCCTCACCACTAGTTTATAATAGCTGTTTCTCATTGTATCCCGATGAGGAAGGCAAAGGTTAATAAACTGCCTGTGCAGTGGGGAGT